GAAGGGATTGACATTGTGCCTTCAAATCATCAATGATTGACATGGGTTCTCTGCTTCCACTAGTTTCTGTTGTTCGTATTTTAACTCGACCTTCACCCTTAGTCCTGCCAGGTCTGTCCTCGATAGATCTTGGAGTTCCTGGTCGGGTAGTCGATCTCCTCAGCGATCGATGACCTCTTTGTCGTGTGCCATCTCGTGCCGATCTTGGAGTACTAGCTGCAGTTCTCCTTCGTTGTCCAGCCAAGTTCCATCCCTGCATTGTCGATCTCGACATTGTAGACTTTGATCCACTCTCTGCAGTTCCAGGTGAAGTCAAGAAGCTTCTTCGGCTGGAGCAACAGGATTGTCGTTGAAGGTAAACTGAGTGTCACCGCTGCTGCCTTGCATCTTTACGATGTAGAGCTGATCGGTTCTTTACGTCCACGATCGTTTGCTCCAGGCGCCGGCTAACAGCACGTAAGCACTGCTCCCTCGTCGAGGGTAAAGAGCCCCTACGGCTGATAACCTGTGAGCAGATCGATCCCTGTTCCGGATATGCCAATTGTTATTGGAGTACTTGTTGCAAATGCTGTCAGCGACGCGACCACAACATGAAGCAAGTGAACGCACAGCTACCTTTTCATCACGCTTGAGCCACATGTTACAGTGGCATTGTTTGTTGGATGTACATGCATATGTACATGTGCACTACTATATAGTTCCCTTTCGCATTTATATATGTATATGTATGTATATTTTTGAAGTGGTAACCACAATCCAAAGCCAAAAAGTCAAAGTTGAAAAACATGTATCTGTCACAGTTTTCTATCTGTGATTTTTGTGTCTGGTTGACATGAAAAACTACTAATCCAAACAGGGTCGGGAATGTTTCATTCTAACGGGTTTTGACCTGAGATCTGTCTGCTTTCTTCTCCCCTCAAACTCATGAATCCATCAACAGCCAATGGCCAATGTGGTAGGCACGCATGACAGCACTAGTTGCCAAAAAAAACAGACTTTAAACCAAAATTTTGCATTATTTAGTTGCAAAATATGCCAAAATGATAGGTACCCTGAAGACACTTACGACACCCTTCAATTTACATCCTCGGGGAATCCATCATTCGAAAAGCAATGACGTTCCTCGATAGGCATTTCTGGTACGCTCCAGTTTTCATTTTGTTGGAGTAACATTTTCCACACATAGTATGTATGGACATGTATGGACCATGGTCCTTTCAGGAGAACCATGCACTGCTACGTCCAGTGAACCTATCAAGTTTCAACCCTTGTGACGGACGACAAATCTCAGAACCCGCACCGGAACCTCCGGTACCACCACACCGGAACCTATAGATTATGAAAAAAGCAAACCCGAGAAACACTGAATGCAGCTTGCGCGCGTGCAGCAGGTATTAGTATGTAGGTAGCGTGTGGTTTCCAAAATGCTGCAAATAACGTGCAGCTGGCAAGTTGTGGGCTTTGGACTGCTGCGAATTAGTGCAGGAAACAATGGATGCTATGCGTACTGTGTGTTTTATTTAGTTTCTGCGCCGTGCCACTGAACACTACTGCACCTTGCCGCAAATGGGAGGTAAATGGAAAGGTTTTTTGAATAATAACTATTGAGCTCAAGGACCCACACTCTGGTTGAAGTCGCCGAGGAAGTGCTCAGGGGGTGAAGGGGTTTGGTGGGTGGGTGTTTTTACTATATCCAAAATATTTATCAAATATATTTCATTAAAAGAGATCAAATAAATAAACATATAAATATTTATTTCGTAAACATGATAACAAGAAAAAAGGGGAAAACCTGAGAGTGCGCAGCAAAGAAAAATATTCATATAGTTTTGTTTGATTCATTGACCTTGGAAATCCAAACTACCCCCATTTGGGGAAGCGCGCGAGTGATGGAACCTTGGAACCTTGGAACCAGAAGAAATGGAAGGTCCCCCAATAAAAAAAATGCATTTTTGCCAGTCAAGTTGATTGGATTTCTTCCCATAAAAATTGGTTGGTCATGAATAAATTTTATTGGGGCCATTTATACGGTAATGGTGTTACTTATGATAAATTATGGGTTACTTATGATTATTATTTTTTGCTGATTGTTCCTCCTATAATGAAGAAACCGATGCATGCAAATCTTTTGGAATTTCTGAAGTGTTGCGAAGTGTTGCCTGTGGTTTTCAAAATGTTGCAAATACAGTGCACGTAGCTCCTGCCAATGGTATTCCAAAAAAACAAAAAACAAGCAGTAATTTAAGATCACCTGAAACAATTTCCTGTATAAATTTCTATCTGCAAGAACTGATTTCACATATGTAAATATATATATATACATGAAATTGCAAAAGTGCACACAACCATGCGATTTGTTACGTTTTGTGATTTCGAAGGCATAATTCAATTACAAACGTAAGGTTTTTTCTGTTTTTAATTGCCTGTCTGTCAAAACCCAAAAAGTGCTCCGAACGTAACCTTCATTTTTTTTACATCATTTTTTATCTGCAAGTGGTTCACTATATTTTTTTTAAAACAAATCTACTTATTACTTACTTACTTACTTATTTATTTATTTATTTACCTACATATGTACTTTATTATATTATAATAAGTTTTTTTGTCCAATTTTTTTCGTATATTTCATTATATACTGTTCTATTTTATTATGTTTCATGGTTTATTTTTTTATACCATATTAAATCATATTTAACTATTGTCTTTTATATTATATGATACTATTTTTTATATACACATAATTTTCATGCAATTTGTTTAGTAGGTATGTATTTTATACCTTTTCCATCTTTTTGCCTAACCATTCTGGCTTTGCAGCAGGTCTTTACATAAATTGCACCATGCCTTTAGAAGAAACAAGCAAACAAACAAACAAACAATGTATCAAACTTGTATTATATAAGAATGTTGGGTTTGAAATATGGTTCTTGTCCCAAAAGGGGAGGGGTAGGTGCATTTTTCAAAGCAAATGCCTTTTTCAAAGCACAGATTGTGACCCCAAAAGGTGGAAGTCCAAAATCAAAAAAATGAGGTCCAAAATCAAAAGCAAAATCAAAAAATCAGCATGCATGTTTTGTTTTGACTTAAAATCAATTGTGAAAACCAAGAAATTGATTGTAACCAATACCCGATGCTCAGGGAAATATTGAAGAGACAATTTAAGTTTTTTTGGTGTTATTTGGATTTTCGATTGAATTGTTGAAATGTTTATTGAAATTTCGATTAAAAAAGCGTAGATTGAAATTCCAAAATTTCAATTGCAATTTATACTTGCTTTGTTTTCGATTGAAATTTTCAACCTCGATTCAAAAAAAATCAATCTAGGATGCTCTGGGTTACTAACTGCTGACTAGCTTTGCTGCTACTATTACTGCTACTATTATTATTATTACTGCTACTACCTACTGCCACTACTAGTCGCATAAATATAAAATACCCTCGTAAAGCTAAATTGTTGAAAATATTTAAAACTAAAAAGAGGAAACAAGTGAAAACCTTAGATGCCGGTAGTAGTAGTAGTAGTAGTAGTAGTAGTGGTAGTAGTAGTAGTAGAAGTAGTAGTAGTAGAAGTAGTAGTAGTAGTAGCAGTAGTAGCAGTAGTAGCAGCAGTAGTAGCAAGTAGTAGTAAGTAGTAGTAAGTAGTAGTAAGTAGTAGTAAGTAGTAGTAAGTAGTAGTAAGTAGTAGTACAGTAGTAAGCAGTAGTAAGCAGTAGTAAGCAGTAGTAAGCAGTAGTAAGCAGTAGTAAGCAGTAGTAAGCAGTAGTAAGCAGTAGTAAGTAGTAGTAGTAGTAGTAGCAGTAGTAAGCAGTAGTAAGCAGTAGTAAGCAGTAGTAAGCAGTAGTAAGCAGTAGTAAGCAGTAGTAAGCAGTAGTAAGCAGTAGTAAGCAGTAGGAAGCAGTAGTAAGCAGTAGTAAGCAGTAGTAAGCAGTAGTAAGCAGTAGTAAGCAGTAGTAAGCAGTAGTAAGCAGTAGTAAGTAGTAGTAAGTAGTAGTAAGTAGTAGTAAGTAGTAGTAAGTAGTAGTAAGTAGTAGTAAGTAGTAGTAAGTAGTAGTAAGTAGTAGTAAGTAGTAGTAAGTAGTAGGAAGTAGTAGTAAGTAGTAGTAAGTAGTAGTAAGTAGTAGTAAGTAGTAGTAAGTAGTAGTAAGTAGTAGTAAGTAGTAGTAAGTAGTAGTAAGGAGTAGTAAGTAGTAGTAAGTAGTAGTAAGTAGTAGTAAGTAGTAGTAAGTAGTAGTAAGTAGTAGTAAGTAGTAGTAAGTAGTAGTAAGTAGTAGTAAGTAGTAGTAAGTAGTAGTAAGTAGTAGTAAGTAGTAGTAAGTAGTATACGTAGTATACGTAGTAAGTAGTAAGTAGCAAGTAGCAAGTAGCAAGTAGCAAGTAGCAAGTAGCAAGTAGCAGGTAGCAGGTAGCAGGTAGCAGGTAGCAGGTAGCAGGTAGCAGGTAGCAGGTAGCAGGTCGCAGGTAGCAGGTAGCAGGTAGCAGGTAGCAGGTAGCAGGTAGCAGGTAGCAGGTAGCAGGTAGCAGGTAGCAGGTAGGAGGTAGCAGGTAGCAGGTAGCAGGTAGCAGGTAGTAGGTAGCAGGTAGTAGGTAGCAGGTAGCAGGTAGTAGGTAGTAGGTAGTAGGTAGTAGGAGTAGTAGGAGTAGTAGGAGTAGTAGGAGTAGTAGGAGTAGTAGGAGTAGTAGTAGTAGTAGTAGTAGTATAGTAGTAGTAGTAGTAGTAGTAGTAGTAGTAGTAGTAGTTGTAGTAGTAGTAGTAGAAGTAGTAGTAGTAGTCGTAGTAGAAGTAGTAGTCCTCGTAGTAGTCGAAGTAGTCGTAGTAGTAGTCGTCGTCGTAGTCGTCGTAGTAGTCGTACTAGTACTAGTACTAGTACTAGTACTAGTACTAGTAGTAGTAGTAGTAGTAGTAGTAGTAGTAGTAGTAGTAGTAGTACTAATCGTCGTGTCAATTAATTTTTACTCGTAAAACCAAAAAGGGGAAAAATGGATGCTTAAACGGCGGCCAGCTATACCGAAAATCGCCACGCTGCACGGCAGCGATCATGTTCAAGTTCCTTCGCAGTTCGTGCAACAGTGTTTTGTGCTAAACAGGTGCGAACATCCCCATTCTGTGTAAAAAGCCAGTCGTCTAGCAAGCTTTGGCACAGAGACCGGGAGTATTTGCTTCTCTGCGCCTCCGCTTGGATAGCGTTGATGACTTCACATGGCCCCTGCTCCGCTGTCAACATCTCCAACAGCTGCTGCACGTATCTCTTGCACCGATCACGTCTGAGCTTCCGGGGTCTGGCTGGTTGTTGGCCACCCTGCTCATTTTGTAAGTGATGGCAGGAAAGAGCATTCACTCCCTTTCAGGCACCCATAGGGCGATCTGAAAAACAAACAGATGTTGCAAGGCAAACGTCCTGCGTAAGCCGGCAAGGACTGTAGGATCACCTCGGTTTCTGTCCAATGGCCCAAGCTGCTGGACCCTGCAACCGATTGATCAAAGGGTCTGCTGATGGATGAGCTGGTGGCTGACTTGCCTGAGACAGGCTGTTCACCATGAACTGAACTTTCTGAAAGCACATGACACGGAAGGTCAGCGGAGGGTTCGAAATGATTTGAATATCAACAATTTGACTTATCCGCCGGCCCCTGCCGTTGCCATTGCAGGGGAGGCGCCTCGAGACAGCGAAGCATCATCAGCGGCCTGTTCTCCTTCATTGGCAGGCAGTTCACGAGCTGAGGGCGCGTCGTATTCGTAGCTGGCACCACCTGACGGCACGATCCGTCCGTTTCAGTGTGGCGGAACGTACGTTTTGGAGGCTTGCAGCTGGCCTGTGAGGCTTGGCCGACGACTCGTATAGGGTTTGGCTCGCGGCCTGTTTGCCTTCATTGGCAGGCAGTTCACGAGGTGACAGCACCTCGTATTTGTAGCTGGCACCACCCGAAGGCACGATCCGTCCCTCATGGCATGCTGCTTCCTGTGGCGGAACGTACGTTTTGGAAGCTAGCAGCTGGCCTTTGAAGCTTGGCCGCCTCGTATAGGGTTTGGTTCTATATGCGTTTCAAAGCGAGCAAATGAGCCACGACCAGGGGCGCTTCGAAGGCACAATCCGCCCCTCATCACTGCCATGCTGTTTCAGTGTGGCGAAATGTATGTTTTGGAGGCTTGTATAGCTGTGGCCTTTGAAGCTTGGCTGACGGCTCGTATAGGTTCTGATTCTATATGCGTTTCAAAGCGAGCAAATGAACCACGACCAGGGGCCCTTCGAAGGCACGATCCGTCCCTCACTGCAAAGCTGTTTCAGTGTGGCAAAACGTGCATTTTGGAGGCTTGTATAGCTGTGGCCTTTGAAGGTTGGCTGACGGCTCCTATATAGGGTTTGGTTCTATATGCGTTTCAAAGCGAGCAATTGAGCCACGACCAGGGGCCCTTCTAAGGCACGATCCGTCCCTCACTGCCATGCTGTTTCAGTGTGGCGAAACGTGGAGTTGGAGGCTTGTAGCTGGCCCTTGAAGCTTGGCTGACGGCTTGATAGGGTTTGTTTCTATATGCGTTTCAAAGCGAGCAAATGAACCACGACCAGGGGCCCTTCGAAGGCACGATCCGTCCCTCACTGCAATGCTGTTAGTGTGGCAAAACGTGCATTTTGGAGGCTTGTATAGCTGTGGCCTTTGAAGGTTGGCTGACGGCTTGTATAGGGTTTGGTTCTATATACGTTTCAAAGCGAGCAAATGAGCCACGACCAAGGGCGGCTTCGAAGGCACGATCCGTCCCTCACTGCCATGCTGTTTCAGTGTGGCAAAACGTATGTTTTGGAGGCTTGTAGCTGGCCTTTGAAGGTGGCTGTCAGCTCGCATAGGGTTTGGTTCTATATGCGTGTTCAGCTGTATACAAACTGAGCTCATTCTAATCAGCAAAAGCATTGGAGCGACCAAACACGTTCTCCCGATATATATATATATGTATGTATGTATGTGTATGTATGTATGTATGTATGTATGTATGTATGTATGTATGTATGTATGTATGTATGTATGTATGTATGTATGTATATGTATGTATATGTATGTATATGTATGTATATGTATGTATATGTATGTATATGTATGTATATGTATGTATATGTATGTATATGTAGGTATATGTATGTATATGTATGTATATGTATGTATATGTATGTATATGTATGTATATGTATGTATATGTATGTATATGTATGTATATGTATGTATATGTATGTATATGTATGTATGTATATGTATGTGTACGTATGTATGTATGTATGTATGTATGTATGTATGTATGTGTATGTATGTAGGTATGTAGGTATGTAGGTATGTAGGTATGTAGGTATGTAGGTATGTAGGTATGTATGTATCCGCCGACCCCTGCCGACAGCAGGGGGAGCCCGTCAGAGAAGAGGGGACAAGAGGGACAAGAGGCAAATGAAAGTGTGAAAGTGAAAGCTTTGAGGCAGCCAGCAGTGCAGGAAGGCAACCAAATAGAAGGTTTGAGGCTAGTCTTGGATTGAAAGTTCGAAGCTTGCGACACCGCTCTCGGAACCGAGCTGTGCCAGACGAAAGCAAGCAAGCTGGCAGCCAGCAGTGCAGGAAGGCAGGCAAATAGAAGGTTTGAAGCTGGTTATTTGTTGGATTGAAGGTTTGAAGCTAGTTTCTAGACAGTTCAGAAAGCAACGTTTGGCATTCTGGGCTGCCGGCCGCAGGCTTGATCCGTCCTTCACTGCCATGGTGTTTTGGCTCTGCG